ATTAGTTAAAACAAATGATGAGAGAAAGCAAGAAGTCTTCTGAAATAGATATGGCAACCACTACTTTACTGTTTCATAGCTTTTTTGGCCAAATCTATTTCGTAGTTATGTGGCAAAGCCCATATTATAGTAATAAAGTTTTCTTTTCCCACCATGAAAAATGAAATTTCTTCAATATATTTAAAAGAAATATAAATGTTACCGTTATAAACCTTTTTAAATACTTTTCATGTTTACAAGTCTTTTACTCAATTTACCTGAATACTATGCTATTTGTACCCTATATTGTTTGAAAAAATAGTCGCAAAATCGGTCCAATGTTTTCGGATGCCATAATTTATATTTTTGTCCATATGTTTTTCGTATTAGGGTTTAAACATGTGAAATCTTGAACAGAAGCTTCAGTTGTCTATGTTCTAAAGCTGAATATAAAATTTGGTCAGGTTTTTCGAGGTTGGGTAAGTTGGTGGTTGGCCAAGAATTTGAGTGTTTAAGCCTTACAATATATAAAAATTGTCTCACCTAAGACCATAACTCCTACCAAAATATTTTCTTACCCTTTACCAAATCCGGAGTTTGCTTCATAAGCATATCTTATAGTGCTTTTATTTATCTGGTAACTTAGGTTCTTTTGGTTGAAGTCAGATATTATAGTTTTGGACCCATGAAGTTAAAATTTTAAACGATATTATACCTTAATTAAACCAATGTTAGTATATGAACAACATTATGTTAGAATGAACGTATACATTTTACTTTTGCAGCTTTCAGTGTTTTTGCTGATGAAACATACATTTGATGTGATTTATGGAACCGAAGAGTATCCATTCACATTATTTACGGTAAATGCTCTCTCCTTTTTAAACACTAATCACTCAATCAAAGAATTTAAAGAATCCTTATATATTACTACTTGAATTAAGAATTATTTGGATGAATATGAATGCAGGTACTAACATTAAAGGCAATTGGGATTTTATTGCCAATGTTCATTATAATTCGGATAATCTCAGCTATTCAGAAAATTATCAGTCGTCATCAATATTCCGTAAGTTCCTCTAATTTA